CCGAGCCAGGCCTGGTCCTGATCACGTCACACACATTGTCTCCTGGAGGGCCTCCCAACAACCGCAGGAAGCAGGTTCTATCATTTTTCCGTATTTTACCGTCGAGGCAACTAAAGCAGAGGACGGTTTCATAGCTAGCAGGTGCCTGAGATTCGGAGTCCCATTTAGCTCTGAGAGTTCACTCCACGGTGGGGAAAGCGGCTGATACGGGCACGAAAGGAGACGATCTCAGTGTGCGAGGGGCCCTTTCTCTGGGGATGCTCGCTGCCTCCCAGGTGGGGTTAGTGGCCTCTGCTGTGCACTCGCAGGACGCCCGGCGCGACGCCGTCCCTGCACCTCTGCCTGTGCCGCTTCCTGTGCGCAGGTCGGGGCTCGTCTCATCCATTCCGGTGCCCTCGGCGTCAAGCGCAGTGACAATTCATGGGCTTCCCATAAAGGCTGGTTGAAGAGAATGTGCAGAGTTGTAAAGTACAATGGGAAGGTGCAAGCCCTGGGGCCGTGGAGCCGAGGGCCAGCAAAGCCACATGGGCAGCCGTGTGACCAGATCTCAACCAGACCGAAGGAGGGAAGGCGGAGGAAGTCCTCATCCCCGCCCCGAACATGGTAAAAGTCCTCGGGTGGCCTGGAGAGGCAGGGACTGTGGGGACAGACTCGTGGGCCTCTCACATTCTTCTCCAGCCCCTGGAGCTGGCAAGTCTACGAAGGCTCCAGAGTTTCCAGTTCTGAACACTGGGCTGCTTTCCTTTTCCTGTCAGGGTGCGGAGATCGAAACCACATGGAGGAAACTTAAGTGGATATTGGCAAGTGACAGAAGCCCATCTGGAAAAGCTCCGTGCCATTAATACATGATTGCAACTGTGTGGCATTCTGGAAAAGGTGAGACTACGAGACAGCAACACGATCAGCCGTTGCCAGAGGTTGCAGGGGGAGGGATGATGGGCGGAGCACAGAGGATTTTTAGGGCAGTAAAACTATTCCGTGTGACACTGTAATGGTGGCGACATGTCTGTGCACATTTGTCAAAACCCACAGAGCATAGAACACAAAGAGCAAACCCCAGTGAACTATCGACTTCAGTTAATATTGTTTCAAATATTGGTTAATCACTTTTAACCACTGTGCCGCATGTAAGAAAGATATTAAAACAGGAGAAGCAGCATGTGGGGTGTGTGTGAGAGAGAGAGAAGGGGTGCATGGGAATGCTGTACTTTCCGAGCAATTTTTCTTCAAACCCAAAACTACTCTAAAAAATAAAGTCTATCAAAAAAGTACAGAGATCTCTGTGCCGCACCTTCAGCAGGACCAGGAAATACTGCCGACGCCCGGAAGGTGCAATCACGGAAGTGGAGGACGACGCGGAGAAGGGTGCCGTCCTCACTCCTGGGGTACGTGTAAGAACAAGAACCGGCTCAGGCAACACCTGCCTGGAACTTGTCCGCTTCCTTCCCATTTCCCCTCAGCAAGGAAGCAGGCGAGCACGCTTCCGGGGGGGAATGTGCACGGCTGTAAGGAAGTCATGGGCTAAATGAATCTGATAGATTCGTTTGGGCTTTTTAGTTGCTTTGAGCCATTGCACCAGATGGGCTCCAGGAGGGGACGGTTAGCGTCTGCTCCTCCGGGCCAAGGGCCAGATGGGTCCGGGTCCAGAGCGCTGCCACGGGAGGCCAGAATTGCCGCGGCTGGGATCTCTCTTTGCCCACCCTCACCCTGGCAGAGGGGCTGCAGAGTTTCTGCATTGCAGACCCCTTCCTGGGGGAGCATGGGGGTGGGGCTGCCCCTGACCTCAGAAGCCCAGTGGGGGCGGGAGCTGGGCTGTGGTCAGAGGGTTGCTGCTGGGGGTGGAGGACTGGCAGTGGGCAGCTGTTAAGAGATTGAGGGGTGGAGCTGGGTGATGTTTGACTCTGGATTAAAAATTAACAAAAAAAAAAAAAAATGGAAAGAGAGCCTCCACCCCGCCAGAGCTGGAAGAGATCTTTGAGGCCACCTATCCCATCCTCTCACTGTGCAGCTGAGGAAGCTGGGGCCTGCAGGGGTCCCCCAGAGCCCAGTGGCAGTCCTACGCCGGGCTCTGGGTCCCTGACTCCTAGGGCCATGCGGCACAAAATTGAATCGGTCTGCAAAATAGCTCTCAAACCTGTGCACCTCTCCCATCTCACCTGAGCAACATCTATGCTTCAAGCCTTCCAATGGCTGCCCAGTCCCCTAAGGGAACCACTCAGGGCCCTACCACAGCATCCTAGGCCATTGGGGTCTGACCCTTACCCACCCTGAGTCCCAGCCCCCCAGCTCTCATTCATCTCTGGGGCTGCTGTGTTCTCTTGCACCGCACCCCCGCCACTCTGCCTGCCACCAGCCGGGCCACCTTCCCCGGGCTGCATTCCCTGAGAGCCCAGGCCTAGGCAGGGGCCTGCATCCATGGATTATACGCGGTTGCCTGTTTGCCAGCCCTTATTTCCCACGGGGCCAGGGAGCACAGACAGGGTCTGGCACAGAGGAGGTGCTCCATAAATATCCATGGACTGAAACGAGGTCTATAAATATTTCTTACAGGTTGCAAGCAGAAAGCACTAGTCTGTTTCCTCAGGTTCTGTCCAACTCCCCTTGCCCCCAGCTCTATGCATCTGCTGGCATTTAGGTTTCTTCTTCCCATGGCCTTGGAGAAACAGTGGGCCAGGGCGCCGGGCAGCCACAGTGGCTCTGAGCACGTGGACGAGGCTCTAGAGCAGGGCAGGTTCCTGGCTCCTATTCAGGTAGCTGGGCCACTCCTTTGGCTGCTTAAAACAAAGCATTGCAAGCACCCAGGGACTGGTTTCTAGCCCGGCATGAAGACGGCGCGGTGCCTGCCACAGCGGTTAAACACGGCCGCGTCGATGCACACACACTCTGCGTTGAGTTTTATGATTTCAATACCACCGTGCTCAGGACCCGCCCTCCCTGACAGGTGACTGCTGCTCTCCTGGGCCCCGTTTGCCTACGAGACAAAGCGTCTTTACTGTGGTCTTTCCCCATTATCACCTTGGAAATGTGTGGGCATTAACTTTTATGTTTTAAATCCAAAATAGACAATAAAATTAGGGAAGCAGGTTAGCGTTAATCTACAGGGTTGCCTGTGGACATGAGTGAGTCCTTGAGGGAATTTGTGAGGTTGTCCTGCCCTCCCTGGGCAGAAAGTTCTGTAGCATGTGGGAAGGGCTACGTGGCGAAGGAGGGCAAATGCCCGATGGGTCCAGAGTGGAGAACTCTCCCTTGCATGGGAAGCTCAGCATGCAGAAGCCTGGGGTGCACTCCTGGGAAGGGGACCCGAGGCACAGGCCCCAGCAAACTTCAGCTGCAAAGGCAGTTGAAGGGCAAGGGGCCAAGGAGGCCACAGGTGCCGGGGTGTGTGCATGCCGCATTTCTCACCCACATGCACCCCCTGCACGCTCACGGGGGCAGCAGCTGCCACTTATCTGATGTCCCCTTTCCATAGGTGCTTGCCTTACATTAGCTGTCATCCTCACCACAGCCCAGCGAGGAAAGCAGAGCAAACCTCTCCAACTTCTACGTGAAGAAATTGTCCAAGTACGCAGCCAGCAGTGGCAGAGGTAGGTTTTGAAGGCAGGTAATGTACCTGTTCCAAAGCCTAGGTGCTCTCATGATATTGCGCTGCCTCTGCAGGGAACGCCTAGGGCCTGGGGTGGTGTCAGGGAGGGGCACTGCCTGCTGGGCATGGAGGGCGGGGAAAAAGGCATAGGAGAAGCATCGGGGCCTTTGTATGTGGCGGCCCTGGGCCTGCTGCATGGCAGGGCGAACACCACTTCTGCAGGAGTTGGAGGTGGCTGGTCCGCGCGGGCAGCTGGGCTGGGTGTAGCTAGGTAAGAAAGGCTCTAAAGATTCCCCACCAGCAGATCGCAGCTTTGCAATTTAAAAAGTGACATGGGAGGGAAGCGTGAAGGCACCTGACAGGGAGCACATCAGCCGAGAACCGCCGCTCTGCAGGTCCGGGACAAAGCCCCAGGCGAGCACCTCAGGCTCACTCCGTGGAGCACCCCTGCGTCCTGGCTCCCGAGGCCCGTCCCTCTCCCAGAGCAGAGGCGCCTGTGTGGGGCGCGACACCAAACACAGCCCGACCCAGCCTCGTGCCTCCTCTTTCCTGAGCTGGTGTGAGAGAGATTGGCTCTCTTCAGCCACATCCAGAGGGCCTCCGGGGATTTTTTAAAAGAAAAGAAAATCAGGATCATGGCATGCTTGGAATATCATGACTCTGTCTTGACACATAAGCTCACTGTAATGAGAAAAAGCATTTGCGGTGAGACTCAGACGTGGCCAGAGTACAGGGATCCAGGGAGGGTCCCAGGATTGGTCAGACATTGTCTGACGCAGCCATTAAGCAGGCACTGACTTGCTCCCACACTCTCCTCTTAGGGCAATGTCGACACTAATCCCTCGACGTGCAGGAGGCCTGTGGTCTCCCCGGTGCTGGGGCTGCAGGTGAGGTGGCCCCTCATGCCTCCTCTGACTGCCCTGTAGGACGTAAGGCACTTACCTGCTGGTGTCGGAGACACAACCTCCTTTAGAAGGGAGGACAGGTGTGGGGACAGAGAACAGCTGGGACCTGGCTGGCCGGTGGGGGCGCCCACAGCGTCCCAGTCTCCCTCATTCCCACCCAGCCCACGCTGCCACCCCTGAGTGGGCCAGACGACGCTCACCACACATACCTGCAAAGTCAGCTCCTTTGAACAGGGCTGGTGGTGCAAAGCTGTGCCATTGGCAGGGGGAGGCCATCACTAAAGAAGCTGTCACTACTGAGCCCCATCACCCACATGCCCAGCGCCACCGCTACGGCTGGTGGCTCCACCGCCCAAGGGCAAACTCCATGCTGGGCTGCGGCCAGGTGAGCACTGCCCATGTGCTGTCTCCTTTCCGGTCATGCCCTTAATCCAACGCGTGTCCCATCACCCACGATCTGGCCCCACCCGGCCCCACTCCCGTCTCCACTCCACTGTTAAAATCACGCTTCCAACTGTCATTTTCTTTTTAATTTTTAATCAGTCTGTGTCAAGAAAAAAACAGGATTTCATCAAGCTTCCAGCCCTCACCACTGCATCAGCATAGCAATTCTATGGATCAGAGTTTTGTTTATATTTGTCTAAAACCCAGAGGAGGAAAGGAATCAACTCCGCAGAGCGACATGTATTTGAAGAGACTCTTCAGGACACTTTGGGAAAATTTTTATCAACCGATTTTTTAGGAGCAACAGCCAGTGGGCGCCACGAGCCCCTCACGGTGGGAACACGGAATGGCAGGCAGGGGAGGGCGGGGAGGCCAGCCTCTGACCGTGTAGGACAAAATATTAATGAAAGGGGAAAATATAACTTTACACTTCTTTCGGAAGTGGGATATGTTTGCAGAAACAATTTCTGGTTTGGAAAATAAAAGCATGGTTGAGTTTGGGGTGGCGCAACAATGATAATAGTCAACTGAGATCAATTGTTGAGTGGAACCTTTTCAAAATGCCGAAACAGAATAGTACCTTGGTTACCGTCTCCACCATGGGATGTACTCAGACACATCCGACCATGTGTAAAGTCACAAGATTCACCCAATGCCACGGATCCGTGTGCTAAACCATGAATACACACATTGACGATATGTCACCAGAAGACAGCACAGAGTACACGAACTCTACTTTTTGAAGACATTTCCAGAAAGCAGAGTCTGCCTGTCTTTCCTTTCCTTCCTCAGTGGAATTGCCACATCCTGCTTTACTCTTGCTTTGAGTCGAGCAGACCCGACGAAGGAAGATTTTCCAAATGCCACACGAGAACCTCTCCTTTGGGCGCTGGCCCCGTACTGGGGTGCAGGGGGCTCTGCCGCTCTTCCCACCTCCCGACATGGACTTTCCACAAAGGCGCACCCATCCGAACCCGGAATCCAGAGACAGTGTGAAGCGGGTGTGAGAAGCGAATTTACATAATGTGACATGCTTTCAGAGGGGCAGGGAGTACTTGGGAGTCCGCGGGATGTGTGATTCGGTGGGACATGTGTGGAATTGTTCCACGTTCCACAGCACAAGCCGCGCTTAACACCTCCGGCCAGGACTGCAGGGTCTCCCCTCTGTCCTTGGCTCCTCGTGTCCTTGGCGAATCCTCGAGTCTCATTTAAAAGCACTGCTACCGCGGTCTGTCAGCCTCATCCTTGAGCCCAAGATGTAGGATGTGATCACTGTCCCCATGTAGATAAACTAGAAACTCTGCCCCAAGCTTAGTCCTTCTGTGGCCTCCCTCGAGCTACCAGGTCTCTTTTCCCACAGGAGTAGCAGAATCACCACGATTTTGCCCCGTTAGGGACCTTCTTCCATTAGGGGGATCTCTGTGAAAGAATACATGGTTTTAGCTTAGTACAGCCAGAAAACACCACGACAATTTGGAATTATGAAATCAGTGCGGAGAGGAAGAAAATGTTAAGTTCCACATATCAGTTAATAATCCAGTAAAAATCCCCTGTACAACATCTAGTTACCAAAAAACAACTATGGTCTGATTTCCAGTTCATAAAAAATAAAATGTTAGATTTTAACCACAGGCCCTAATGGTCATACAAGCCAAAAAGTTACAAATTCAAGTACGGAGAGGCAGCATGATTTGCAGAACAGGAACTCTCTGGGGACCCAGGGGACCTCTGTTTCCATGTCATCATAGCCATTTACCATCAATACAAGCTGGAATTAGTGCTCTCATTTGCAAAGCTGTGTGGCGCTCCCTCCCCCAGGAAACACAGGCTTAGGCAACCTGACACGGTTTCCTACTTCACCGTGAGCTGCAATCTGCCTTTCCTTGTGATAGGCACGCATGCATCCTTCACTTCTGGTCTGGTAAAAATAACTTCTATGTACACAGAACTTCTCTGGGGCTGGAACACACTGCTGGGCCCTGGCGCATGCATCGGATCCTTCTTCCTGGCATGCACGTATCATCCCGTTCCTAAGCCCCACTTGCAGAAGTCCTGCCTGATTAAGGGACAAAGAAGAGAAACATCCTGGATCACGTGAACACTACGAAAACAAAGTACCGGCCGCCGTGGCCTTTCTACTCTGGATGGCGCGGTGCCCTTTTGTGCCTCCTGAAATTTCTGTTCATGGGCTCATTACTTGTGAGATGATGATCATTCCTCACAATAACTGGCCTTGTCCACGGCCTCTGCATGCAGAGAGAGCAAGGAGCAATTTAAGCCGACTGGTAAACAGATTGAGCGGCTCTGTGCCGGGAGCAGGGGACTGTGCGCGGCAAGGGGCTGGCGTGACGACGCTGGCACCAGGTGTGTGCAGGCGCGGCTCAGGCCTCGGGGCAGACACTCACCATCCGCAATGTCGATGCCTGGGCTGCTGGATGCCGCCTGCCCCACCGTGCTCGCGACCGTGTCTGGGTTCTCAGGAGCGGGCTGGGTGCCCTCTTGGCACGTGGGAGGTGAATACAGACTCTGGATCAGCTCAGATGAGCCTGAGACACTGTCACAGGTTTCTGACTCCCCCTGGCCTGTGTCCGTATCCCCTGAGCCGGGGTATGCTGGGGGGCTCTGGTCGGCCACGGGGCCGGGGCAGCCCTGGCCCACAGAGGCCAGGTAACCGGGGCCTAAGGCACTCAAGCCGCCACTCACAGCCTCGTCATAGGATGGGAGCATGACGGGCACGCCGTCCACCACCACAAAGTCAGGGTCGCTGCTGGAACTCCCGGGAGGCCCCCTGTGCAAAGGAAAGCAGTGCCAACACGTCAGAGCATGCCACCCCACGAGTGAGGCCAGCAGCCCTCCCCACTGCAGCTGGGGTCCTCGGGGCCCACGGCGGGCAGCAGAGCCCAGCGTGGATGGTCGTGCAGAAGATCCAGTCTCCTTGCCAGGTCTCTGCTGGCACACGGCACTGTCCACCGCGGCCATGCCCCAGTTTTCTTCTTCTCATGCTCTCAGGCCCCCCTGCCCCTGGGCCCTACTAGCTCATGCTTCCTTCCTCCCTCCTTTGGCCTGTGGGCTTGGCCGTAAACTCCTGGGGCAGGAGGCCACGTGGCCCGTTCCAAAGGAGCATCCCAGGGTGCCTCTGCAGTGTCCCCCGGGACGGCTGCTGAACATGGACTAGCGCCATTGAAGTGCAGGGAGCAGTGGACCCTGAGTGCCCATGGGGCATGGCTGGCCTTGTGCTTCTTGTGCTTCTCTGTTGCTTTCTGCTACAGCATCAAAACCACTCATTTTCAGTCAAGATAGAAAAACAACAAGAAAAAAAAATGGAAAGCTCTGAGCCCATCTCACTACCTGATTCCGGTTCTGCGGGCTCACCTCCACCTCCTGACCCCCCGGGCACTCCAGGCTAAGCAAGGCCTCCCGCCTGGCGGGAGGGATCCAGGGCACAGCTGAGAAGTCAGTCTGTGTCTCTGTAGGCGTCCCCTTACGTGGGCACACACGCCGCTCCCGGCCTGGTGCCCTTGCCTCTCAGCAGCTGTACGTTCAATCCTGCCCGCTGGGAGCCCAGGTGGCGTCTGACACCACCACCGAGCTCCGTGTGACCACCATGCTCTGCTCCTGGCCCCAGGGGGAACCCGGCGTGCCTAACGAGTAGCCCAGAGTACTCGGTTTCTTAGGGACAAGACCAGAAGCTGAAGTGTCAGGAAGAAAAGCCCACGCAGCTGGGTGGACGGACAATGCGCCCCTGCGTGCCCGTGGCAGGGGCCCCAGAACCCAAGGAAATGGAACATCTGGAAGTGGCCAAGAGGTGGAGGGAGGCGTCAGGCCGTGCCTCTCCCTAACGCCCTAGGGATAGTCTCCAGTCCGCTGACCTTTTGAAACACCCTGCAAAGGCTTGGAAGTGATGGCGGTGGGCTCCCTGTTCTGCAGCTCTTAAAGGCTACACAGAGGAGGCAGGAGGCTGCCAAGGCCGTGCTCCCCAGAAGACAGGAGGCAGCGGGAGGGAAGAGCGTGCTTGCAGGCAGGCCACTCTTTCTCTACGGCAGCCACTCCCCAGTGTGTCCCTGACAAGTCCCTGACAAGTCTCGTTCTCCCCGGCCACTCCGCTGCCTTGTGCTGGCCTTCTCTTCTCATTTGGGCCTCCCTGCCTCCTCCCCGGTCCTGTCCCCTCCACGCTGTCCAGGCCAGGGTGGGCAGAGGGCCCTCTCTTCTCCATTTCTCTCCCAAACAGTCCACACCAGGCCCAGGCTCCCTCCACCTGGCAGCTTCCCTTCCACGGGTCTCAGCCATGCCGCTCAGCCCCCCAAACCCAGACACCAACATCTCTGCAGGGGCAACCCCTGTGGAACCTGGAGGAAAAAGCCCACCCTTGGCTTGCCCTTGAGAATCTAGTTATCTATATGGAGAGATGAGACCAGCTTTCCCCAAACGACTCAAGAATGACGTAAGAGGGAAATACGCAAGGGCTGAAGAACATCAGGTGAAGAGTTTTGAGAACGGTTTTAAAAACATCTTAATATTGAGTCGATATCCTGGAAACTTTTCTTCCAGGCGTATGTAGGAAAATAGCTCTGTGGGCCATTTTAAAGCACTCTAATGTGCCATAAATCACAGCCATGTAGTTCAGCTTTCTCTTTGTAATCCTTAAGCCTTCTTTAGGTACTGTAATAGCCCAATGATAGCACATGGCCCCCTGATTAATAAATAATAATGCTGAAGACAGAGACTGGATGGCAGATTGGAGAGGAAGGCGGGTTCCGGCACCTCGGCAAGGGCCTGGCTCCAGCACCAGGACGTGGACGCACCTCTGGGCCTAGGGAGGGAGCCAGGTGCCCCCACATCTGGCACACTTTTTACGGCTGGGGAGAGTGGGCTGCCTGTGCGTTGTGACCACGGGCCCTGCCGCCAAACGGAGGGAATTGCTAAGTGACGTGAGGCTGCCCTGGGGGTGTTAGCTGGAGGGGAAAGGTGGGCGGACGCGTCTCCAGCAACTCTGCCCACTTCCCTCACTCCTCACACAGCTGGGAGGGGCGAGAGACACCCTGGATTTTCTCAGAAGGAAGAGAGAGAAGTGGTAAATTCCCAGAGCCTCCTCTTCCACTGAGCAATATTCCCTTTTTCAGGGGGTGGTGACATGACCCTGGACAGCTAGGCTGTCCCTATGGGCAAAAACAAATGCCACTTCCTGAAGCATTAGCTTCCAAAAGGAGCAGATTGTGCCATGGCCACAGCATGCAGGGAGGCAGCCTGCTTCGTGGCCCAGCCAGTGTTGCACGAGGGTTTGTTGCCCTCACCTCCTCTTCTGAACCTTCACGAACTCATCCCTTTGCTTTCTGAACTATTCTTCCTCCAGGAACAGTGACCTGCCAACAGTGGTGCTGGGTGGCGAGTCCTCCTTGGCGACGATGACTAGGACCGTGAAGACACCAACCCAAGCTAACCAGTGCAGCCGAGAAGGATGGAGGGTCACTCTCTGTGTGCCACTCCACAGGGCCAGACCTTGTGCCTAACCAGTTGTGTGCATGTCCTGTGGCCGGTGAGCTCCATGGCGCCTAACGCCAGGGCCACGTCAGTGCGCCACAATGGGAATGCCACCCCAGTGGGTGGGGCACAGCTCGCAGCCTGACTCTGCTCCCTGCGCCACCCCCACAATGCCTGCCGAGAGCGCTCTACTGCGGGAAGGAGGGAAAGACAAGCCCACAGAGGGAAGGAGGAAAGAGGGAAAGACGGTCCATCTCCAGCACGGGGCTCTGACCCCAGAACCCCAAAACATCCCAGGAAAGTGGCTTTGGCTCTCCCTTATGTCCCCTGAGAACCCCAACTCTGCACTCGTCACATGCTCTCTCTGCTGCTGAAGGTGGCCGCCCTGAGCCCGACCCAGGGCACCGTGGGAGCCAAGGTGTAGCACTGACCTGGGGGGGAGGTGGGCCTTGAACTTGGTCTGGAACATCCTGGCCAGGATGACGAGCAGCAGCACCAGCAGCACACTGGTGGCCGTGAATGCCACGATCTTCCACGTGGTCAGGAGGGTCTCGTGGGTGCTGGGCCATGTTTGCTCTGCCGTGAGAAAGAACAAAGCCGGGCGTGAGGCTCCTGGACCGGAACAGGCACTAAGGTCCCCCGCAGGCTCACCTGCTGGATTCACCTGGCACGAGAGATGTGTGCAGTGTGGCCTCCTGACCCCAGGGTTGTGGGGAGATACCACACACCCCGTGCCACTCATGTGAATTGTATCAGGATCCACACAACTGCGTGGGCACAGCCAGGCTGCAGACAGACCTGCCTGTTCACGTTCCAGCCCCGGGCGAGGGCCTGGCACAGGCCTGAACAATGTACCTGCTTCCTGAGAATGAAGAGGGGACTGTCTCCCCTGGAGAAGTTGTTCTGAAATGGACCAAGGGCTGGGCATGCGAGAAGCTGGCCCACGTGAGTGTTCTGGGACCTGCTGTTGGGTGGGAGAAGCAAAGAACGCAGGATGAAGGGACACGCCTGCTGCACGGCCCTCACTCCACACCTCCTCTGCTGGCAACCGTCTGCCAGATTGGGGCAGCAAAAACAGATCCTTCCAGAAGAGATTCCTTTCTTTTTGACACAGGCCACCCTGCCTTTGACCTGCCCTCGCCCCTCAGACAGGCCCTGCACTCCTCCCCTTGCTGGCTGGCGGGGCCACCAGTGGCCTCCAGAGACCCAGAGCGAACAAACACTTCCCTCACGTGCTGTGTCCAGGGGAGACGCACGCAGCCGTCACCACAGCTCGGGGCAGCCACCGCGTGGAAAGTGCTAAAGAGAGTGGGCAGGCGACAGTGGGGTACATGCCAGCACCTGGGTCTCCCGCCTCTGGTCACTAGCCGGGTGTGCCAAGGCCAGTGGAGAAGCTAGTGTGCCGGCCATTTGTTATTAACTAGGAAGCACCGAAGCTTGCGAATGGCCTACCCTTTTATAAGTGACAGCAGGTGTTACCCACAGTGTCATCTGTAGACTGATCTGTGTCCATGAGTGGAAGAGACAGGCGCAGTTACCCATCCTTGGGTCCCAGGGCAAGGCGCACAATTCTGGTCACACCCCTGGGCCTGTGTCCTTGCCGGTGGAAAGGGACAGGCTGGGAGGAAGTAGAGTGCACAGAGGCTGGAGGTCCTTCCATGGACGCTAGGGGTCTGGGGACCCTATTCAGAGCAGGTTAACACTCCTGACCCTATGAACAGGGCCTAGAACCACACGGTACAGAGTCCGACGTCAGCCCCACTTACCCAGAGGCACGTTTCGGTATCTTGTTCCTGACGCTGCATGTGGGAGGAGACATGCAGCTCCGGACAGAGCCACCGCCCACCGCGTGCAGACAGTCCAAGGAGGGTCGGTCTTCGCCAAGGGTGAGGCCTCTGCTCTTACCTGATTTGATGCAGTAGACTTGGTAGGAAGGAAACCACTCTCCGTACTGGCAGGTGATGTACTTGTAGTCACTGGTGAGGCTGTAGCCAGGATTGCAGTAAAACTCCACCACGGTCCCGTGGTTGTAGCGCTCACAAGGCCGCGGGTGGCAGACGAAATCTCCGTGACTCACCATTGGAGGTAGTGGACAAACTTGGGCAGTGGGGGAGAATAAGAGTTTCAGTACCAAATGCTCACCCTGGCTGAGGACATAGACTGACCTAGGAGAACCCAGTTACTCAAAGATGTGCTTATGATCACCATTCCTTCTGCAGCTGCACGTGAAAAAAAAATTTAAAAGATTTAAAAAAAAGTAATCACCAGACTATTGAGTTGTACTAGAGATGGTCCCTTCTTTTGTATCTCTGCATGAGGTCACATGAAAGCCTGCTACACTATTCCAAGCATGTGCTGCTATGACGTGGCATTGTAATAAGCACATTTTAAAAGAGAGGTTCATTTTACAATGCACGGAATATGCCTGTTTAGTAGATAGTATTAAGCTGCCCCATTAATAACGCATGCTATTGTGGGCCAGACAACCTAGTAAATAAAATTAAGATATTTATGGACAAAATCTTTACTGAAAGGTATAGATATCCCAAGCCTGTTTCTGTGGCCATGGTAGTAATTTGGGATGATTCACATCCTGGGGCAGTGTCCCTAACCTGAGCCCCCAGGGCCCTGCTGCAGTTTGGCCAATGAGAAATATGGAGCAGTTCTTCTAGCTCTGCTTACAGACCCAGGCCATGGCCCAGCTGGCCTAGCAGGGAATGAGAGTTAGGAGCCTTGGGCTCTAGGGTTGGTTCTGTCACCCACACACAGTGTGACCTAAAGCAGGTCCTTAATCTCTAAAAGCCTTGGTTTTGCCCTCTGTAAAATGGAAGCCTATTCTACTGTAGATGACGTTTTAAGGTTTCTCTGACCCTAACATTCCATCATGTTAGGGCAAGAAAAAAAGTTGTTTTTAGTTTTCTGTCTTGAGACCATATTCTAGGTTGAGAAGTGAGAATTGTTCCAGAAAGACGGCAGTTTGGTGCTTGTTCATCTCGTGCCACAAAGAGCTCTTTCCTGCAGAAGCACTCAGAAATGAACAGCACTGCTACTTAAACATTCTTCAGGAAACAATCAAGCCATAAATTCTACCAATGCCAGCTTCACCCCACACCTATGGCAACCACTAAGAACTTTCACTAAAAAAAAGAACAAAAAACCAAACCAACCAAGAGACAGTTAACCTTTGAGCCCCTTCCAAGGGGCGACCCACGCCGCGGCCGGCGCAGAGCCACCGGCAGAGCCCACCACACACAGGCTGTGCCGCCCACTCCAGACCGGCCCCTGGACTGCACACCGGCAGGAGCAGGCACCACTCGGGCCAGATAATGAGGCGGACACTCCCCGAACAGGCGGCCTGAAGGCGTGGAGCCGGTGAGAGGCCCTCAGGCTCTCTCCAAGCCTGCGAACGACGCCGCAGTGTGGATCTCGCCAGCTCTTTCCGAGGTGGGGAGACAGACACTCAGAGAGAGCGGGAGCAGGGCTGGCTCCGGACAGGCCTCAGTCTGAGTTCCGGCTGAACCCCCACGCGCCAAGTGGCCCTGAACCAGTGAGTCCACGTCTGTCAGACAGGAGTCTCTGAGGGGCATCGTGAGCAATGCTGGCGAGGGCTTAGAGCGGAGCCGACAGAGTTTAAGTGGTCGGTCGGGGACAAGCAGGACCCGAGTACCTCGGGGATGGACTGTAATGAGGTGACGGCTCACACAAGTCATGGAAAAGTGCAAAAGCCCGCAGGGGCACCCCTAGATTAGCAGGAGCGGGAAGCCACTACCTCCCCTGTGCCGGCTGGATGAAGGTTCCTCGTTGCTGGGGTCCCCAGTGGAAGTCTGAACCACGGAGGTCTATCCTGTGGGAGCCGGAGCCCCAGAAAACCCAGACGCTGCAGAGAGAGTGAGGGAGAAGTACCCTGGTTTCTCCACCTGCCCACGCTCCCAGCTCCCTCCGGACAAGGGGCCTGGGGGCGGGGCCTGCAGGGGCACCCTGCCTAAGAGGCGCAGCACGGCAGAGGTCTGGGGACAGATCTGAGGCCGACAGCCCAGGGAGTTAGTAAGTGGCGGCTGTCAGGTGGACACTGGCAGAGATGGACTTGAGCTCTGACTCTGAGGCTGGGGCGCTGTCCCGCTGCTCCAGGGTCTCCTGGGCTGGCAGATAGTCACATAATCCCATGCATCTCCATTTCCACAAAGCGGGCTCTTTTCAAATTTGATACCTCCAGGTGCTCTGGGAGCAACCCCAGGAGGTAAATAAAGCAGCAGAAAAGGGGAGGACGGCTGGGGAGGAAGAGGGAGAGGGAAGAGGCACTGGCAACGTCTAGCTGGTCCTGGGAGGTCCAGGGATGCAGCAGTGAGGGCGCTTCCTCCCCTAGGCCCTGCTCCATGCCGCTCTCCTCCACTCAGGTCTTGCAAGAACTCAGGGAAGGGGAGCCCAGTGGCCTCCAGGGCTGCCCAGCACCAGCCACCCACACCCTGCACTGCCCGGGAGTGCTCCCGAGCGCTGCTGCCTGGTCACGGAGGCCAGCACCTTCTCTGGGATAGGAGGCCTTTTCTGTGGTCCAGGGCATACTAAGTGTCCATTGGCAGATGCATGGTTATCTGTGGGATATATATACCTCAGAATAGTATGCAGCCTTAACAAAGAAGGCAATCCTGCCATTTGCAACAACATGGATGAACTTGGAGGGCACTATGCTAAGTGACATAAGCCAGACACAGAAGGACAGATACTGCAAGATCTCACTTATTTGTTAAACCAGGACAACACCTCTCAAAAACCACACTTAACAACGTGGAATCTAGAAAAGTCGAACAGGTAGAAACAGACAGTAGAATGGCAGTTACTAGCAGAAGTGGGGGAGGGAAATCCTGCCGGTGTAGGTCAAAGGATACAAAGTTGCGATTATGCAGGATGCGCGAGTCCAGAGAGATGGTGTGCAGCATGGGGATGACAGCGAATAATACCATATTTTATGCTGGAAATGTCCTGAGAGAGTGCATCCCAGGTGCTCTCCGTAAGGACGGCCTTGCATACATAAAAGGAAAATAGCTAATCCCACAATTTCCCCAGTAAGAGTTCAAGATCAATCCTGTGAGTTCTCTAACAGACACCCTGCAGGAGTTCTGTTTTGCACAACTTCTGAAAAGAGCTGAATGGATGGAAGAGGGATTACATCTCTTTGTTTCAAAATTGTTTTTTGAGAATCTGCTTTTACAGAGTTCCTGAGGAAGCAGCAGCAGAAGGAGCTACAGTCTCAACCCCATCTCGAGGACAGAGTCGTGTCTCCTGTGATGACCCCTCCTGCAAGGAAAGGCAGGGAAGCAAGTCTCAGGCTTTGACGTCTCTGCAGTTTCTGTCATCTACTTGCTGCCGCTGTCGTTATCAACTGACATCTCTGTATTTCGCCTCTTCGTCCCCTATAACATCAGCAAGCACTTAGCCTCGCCGCCGGCACCCCCTTCTTTCTTTGGGATGCCACTGTCTCCCTGCTGTCTCCCCACCCTTCCCCCACATTCTCTCGGTCCTTCTAAGATAAAATAAACTTTTTTACTTTTATATTTTAATCTCTGCATGAGAAATCTTTTTCCACCAGCGCTGTAAGCACCTACTAGGCTTTCCATCCTATGGCTCTCGCCACGGAAGACGAAAGGCGTCTGTGTGAGGGGACGGGTCACGCTAACTAACTTGACGGTCGCTCTCACCTCAGGGCACACGTGCACCTCAAAACATCATGTCGTACACCTTAAATACACACGATTTTCATGAAAGAAAAGGATACGCAGGAGCTCTCCTCATAGACGGCTCTCCAGACAAGCCCCTGAGGGCCACTGCAGGGTTAGAAATTACCGGAACTGTTTCCAAGGCCCGGAAAACACCATGGAGGCGGCCGTGAATGTGCGCGAGCTGGCTATCCCAGCAGTTTCTCTCACCTGGCCTGAAGGATAAATGACTGTTCGAATCATCGCACTGGCCCTGAGGCAGACGGTCCCGGGATGCGCTAACGGGTGCTGTTCTGCAGGGTTAATCATCTCACCGGGCACATGGAGCCAGCACGGAGGGGGACGCAGGGGGTGGGCTGCGGAGTCACCCAAATTTGTGTTCAAATCCCAGCTCCACTGCTGGTGAGCTGCAGAGTGTTAGGCAGCTCGTGGAATTTTGGGGGCTCTTAGCTTTCCCATGCATATAACGAAACTAACACTTCCCAACTCCCCCAGTTGGTGTGCAGATTAGAAGATGTATGACACAAACGTTCGGGACACAGTAGGCCCTTAACACACAGCAGCTGTCAGTGTCACCGGCGCCTAAGCTTGCTGGGGCTCCCGGGCTGCCCTTCCCCCGCCAGGGCACTGCCAGCCTCCTTACGCCATTAGATACCCGGATTGTGCCAGGGCAGCCCCAAACATCTCAGAGAATCTGGATGCATCTCATCGCCACATTTCCTCAGAGGCCAGATACAAATCGCCCATTGTAGGGGCTGTACTCCTGAGACTGTCAAAATCAACTTGTAACGGAGACGCATTTCCCCCAAGCAGAAACATCTGTCTTCACACCTTGCGGTGTTTCAGACGATGGCGCCTGGCAGACCGTTAGCTTTGCCATAGGCGAAACCCGTGTGCTCTGTCATTGGGGTAGAGGGTGGAGAATGTTTCTTTTAACTTGGAAGGAGACAAGTGCTATCACTTACACAATCCAGGAGGCTTAATGAAAAATCCCAATAGAGGAAGTCGTGGGGCTCAGGGACTTCCACCTCCCACCCACCACAGCCTCTCCCTGTGGGACTGAGCTGAGCTCTGCCACCCGCTCCTCTCCACGCCTTCCCTAACAGGCAGACAGTTCTACACCGACGGACAGACCGACAGACACACTCCCACACCCAGAGGCCTCGGGTACACGGCAAACAGCCCTATGAACAATGGCCATGTGGCTGGCATTGGAAATAACCCGTGTGTTCCTAGAAATTCCGGGGTGAGTAAAAGCGAAATGGCCTTATCTCAGAACTCCTTCAGGCTCAGCCTGACTCGAGCCCCGTGAGTTGCTAGTTCTAAGCAAAATACACTCGTAAAAACCTGTGGGTGGCATGAACAAAGATTCTTCTGCAACTCTAT